TATATATAAGATAACTGAAAAAAAAGTGAAAGAAAACATGAGAGATTTGTTGCTTGTCGAGAATAAAGATAAGACGTTCTTTAGTTGTGGTAGACTGGCAGAATGTTCGCTAGTGGTATCACAGAAAATGTCTTTCGATGATAATAAGAATCGAGGTCGAGAGAGGAGAAAGATTGGAGGAAGGGGTGAGGGAGAGAGAGAGAGAGAGAAACTAACGAGATCGTTGCCGATTCTAAACTTGGAATTATAAGAGGAAAAAATGAAGGGGAAAGAAAGAAGGAAGGAAGGGAAAGACGAGGAAAAGATATTAATTTGTATCATTTCATAGTTAGTTAGGAATTTGCTTAAGTAAACAAATTTTTGTTCAAATATTTATGAATTTTCCTCAACCTTTATTCATACATTTAATTGAATAAACTTGATCATAATTTACTTTTCGCTTTCTCTTCAATGAGGATACATTATACTTAAATTTTGTGTATATATATATATAAATATGGATATACGCATGTGTGTATGTGTATTTGTACATACAATAAGTGTATTGATAAAGTTCATTAGACAAATGATTTATGCTTACCTGTTTTTAATCGAGTTGATTGAAGCGTTTGAATCGAAAAGGTGTTATTAAAAGTGTATATATATGTATGAATATTATATGTGTATATTATATGTATATATACATATAATCGATTCTACAAATCGTAAGAGGAAGCACACAAATATTTATTCGTTAACTTTAATGATATTCAAATGCTGCTAAAGCTATGTACCATAGTATGTACACATTCACATATAAATACATGTTATAATACATTCACGTATATACTTTATTTGTTTTGTTTTAATATTATATTTTTATTTTCGAGTATTTCTATCCAATTAGCTAATATTTAATTACGATTTTCATATTACAAGGTATAATTAGTTATATAACAATAATAATGATAAATAATTGTAAGTTTATTAATCTTTTCGCATATCTTAGAGGTATCGTTTAGTATAAATTTGCTCATACATACGCATCGTCATGTAATATACGAATCCTTGATGGGTCGATTGAGCTTTTGCATGGATTTGTATATAGGTCGTTAGTAATGAAAGGGTTAATTATTCTGTTCTTTTTCTTTTTAATCGTCACACCCAACAATTCTACTATGAGAAACATGCGTGCGGGATAACGGTTTAGAAATAGTATCTAATTCACATAAACGTTCTTCGTATTCTTTTTATTTTATTTTTACATATGCTTGTATATATGTGGCTGTGTGTGTGTGGATTACGCGTGAACGTTCAAGGATAATACATGCAATCGATTATGACATTTTTTTAACATATTCAACGATTAATAATAAGTGATTGTTGTATTATAGCAAAAAAAAAAGAGAAATTTGAAAAAAAAAGAAAAATAGTGGAACAGGATTAAATTACATTTTAATTAATGTACACCTGTTAATCTGATTGCTATAATAGTATTGTTAGTAGAGAAAGAAACAAATAGAAAATCGCGTACAATTCGTAAACATAAGTTGAGTCGATCTGATAAATGAAATTTGAAAATGGCGCCATCAAACGTCGCCCAGGTTGTCCAACACTCGAAACAATTTTTCTCGGGCAGTGTCGACACAGCAAAGAGAGAAGAAACATTGTATTGGTACGTGATTAAAACGACAATAACGCATCAACGATCGATTTTATCGTTATCGTTAAGTTTTACGTTTTTAGCGATATATTTAAATACTTTTAAAAACTGAGAGAAAATTGGAAAGAGTTAAAATCGTGTTTCTAGACAGAAATTGTAGAAAATGTCGTAAACCTCATGCAATGAGTTACGTAATTTTTATTTGTTTTTCAACAGAGTTAAAAGGCGCCAAATTCAAATATTCCATATCGTAGATTCTTATCACGAGGTCAGCAGTGGTATTAATAAACTTGTGGATGTTCAATGAAAAAGTAATAAAAATAAAAAAAAGGAAAAAAAAATAAAAAAAACAAAACAAAGTAATATATAAAATAAAATCACATCGATCGATTCAATAAGCAAGTGAATTAGTTTAACGACGATATTTGCGTCCTCGAAGTGTAATTATACATATTTTTCGAAGATAAAAAAAGTTGCTTGCTCGTCATAAAATCGATGAAGCTGTTTAAACGATAACCAGAATCATTCCAATATAACAACTCAGTGGGTCGTTTGGTAGCGAGACACACAAAACGTTTTTTGAAAGCGATAGAAAATATTTAATTGATACGAGTTGCGTCGAAGTGAAATACAGGTTAAGGGTCGATACAGTTCAATTTTATCTTTTATTTATTCGAATGAGAGTAAGGCAGAGATAAAGAAAATCAAAACACTAGGAGAATAAGAAGAAGAATAACAAGAGGAGTTAGGGGGCAAAGAAAAAACAGAATAAAAAAACAAGTTACAAAAATGATAATCTTTTCTCGTGGAAGCTCGTTGATACGAGTTTCCGTATCGACTTGGTTGAGGACATTACAAATTTCGAGAAAAGAAAAAGAAGAAGTCGTTGGTGTTCTTGTTGGTACTGTAAGAAAGATGGCATCCAGTAGTAATAATACGAAGGATAATATGGTTGTACCAAAAGAAGAAGTCGTCAGGTTCATTCAAGAATGCATGTGCAAGGTGGGAACGCACGAAGAAGATGCTCACGTAGTTGCATGTCATTTAATGACCTCTGATTATCGCGGTCACTTCAGCCATGGTATGAACAGAATGCAGATGTACGTGAACGATATTCAAAATAATATCATCGATCCTGTCGCCAAACCAGAAATCATACGAGATTTTAAGGTTCGAGAGAATTCTTATGAAATGATCAAATGAATACTTCCAGAGTTATCACAAATGTTCTTTTATTTTTTTAATTTTCTTAAGAAAATATTTACGTCATTTTGTTGTGAAAAATTTTTGATTAGAGTTGTTACCTTTCAATGATTACCATTGGTATATATCATTTGAATCTTCAGTTTAGATTTAAACACATCGAGATAAACCTTGAAATATTAACGAGCGATTAAACGATAAAATAAGATGTTTCTCTCTTTTAATAATATCTATTTCGTATCGTGGGAGTAACATTCGTTGTCGGTTTGTAAACATTAAATCTACCTTCCGTCTACTATATCTAATTAACAATCGCAAGTGCAGGGCTATCTGTTGTATACGTCGTGCTTTGTGCATAATAAACGAACGAGCGTGTGTTAACATTCTTACGTCATCGGCAACAACATTAATGAGCCGACAATCAAATATCGTAATTATCGTGTCGAAAGTAAATATTCGAGATTTTTCTCTCTCTCTCTCTCCTCTTCTTCTCATCTCTTTTTCTATAGTGTACATTACAGGCTTCTCAAAAATTCGTTTCACCGAGAAAATAATAATAATAAAATAAAAAAATTCGATGTTGTTTTAGTAAATTCGACTCTGGAAGTATATTAGACCATTAATAAGAATAAGAAAAAAGGAAAGAAGGAAAAAAAATAAAGATATATTTTCTTAAAGGTTAACTACATTTTTTTACAGGCGATAGCATTGGTAGACGGACGAAATGGTTTGGGTCAGGTAATCGGCAAATATTGTATGGAATTAGCGATAAAAAAAGCTAAGGAATATGGAATTGGTATGGTATCAGCTCGAGGATCAAATCATTTTGGTATTTGTGGTTATTATACATTGATGGCTATGGAACATGGTCTGATTGGTTTCAATTGTACCAATACGAGTCCTTTAATGGCACCGACGCGTAGCAAAAAAGCTGCTTTAGGAACGAATCCTATATCCTTAGGCATGCCTGCAGAAAATGGCGATGAATTTCTTTTGGATATAGCTACTACTGCCGTGGCACTGGGAAAAATAGAGTTAGCTATGAGAAAACGTGAATCGATACCCGCGGGCTGGGCTCTCGACGGTCAGGGTAAAATTACTACGAATGCTCAAAATGCTTACGATGCGACTCTCTTGATGCCATTGGGTGGTGAAGAACGGAATTCGGGTTATAAAGGTTACGGACTTGCTACCATGGTTGAAGTTCTTTGCGGTGTTCTTTCTGGTAGCCAGTTTGGACCAAACATTCGTGCTTGGAAAAAAGGCGACAAGATTGCTGATTTAGGACACTGTTTCATGGCTATCGATCCGGAAGCTTTCGGTAGTGATTCGAAAAAGAGATTAGCTGTTTTGCTCGGTCAACTTCGGGAACTTCCAACTACTGGTGAACTACCTGTTCTCGTGGCTGGTGATACTGAGAGGTGTGCCATGGCAAAGGTCGATAGAGAAGGTGGAATAGAATATCATCCAAATCAGATAAAAGACTCCGCTGAATTTGCTAAAATCATGGGTGTCTTACCCATGAAATTAATACCTAAAATTTCCAGTTAGATTTTAAGATTTTTGGTAAGAATCAAAATTTCCAGTTAGATTTTAAGATTTTTGATAAGAATTAAAATTTCGTACTATTGTGTATGATACTGCTCGATAGATCTAATCGAATAATAAGTTTTAAGATCCAGGAACAAATTTGTTACCATTTAATATACTGTTATTTTTAATTGACAAAAAACACGATGCTTGATTATTTTATAAACAGATATATTTTTCTACCAATAAATGAATTTACGATATACAATATAATAAAAGTTTATTAACAGGTTAATAGATTACTGTACGAGATTGACTACATTTTTAAAAAATAAGTTTAACAATCTTACTATTTAAAGTTGATTAGGTTACGGTCAACTGCTATGAATAACTGAACTGTTTATCCTATAAAAATATAATAACTCTTCTACATCTCAATTTATTTTTCTAAAAATATATACATGTATTTTTTGTTAACAATAAAGTTATTTATTTAACTATTTGTTCGTATATATCCTTTAGTTAATTTAATTGTATCATGAAACGAATGATAAATCTGATTAGGATTACGAAATGAATCGATATGACAGTTTTCATGTTTCCGTTTCTATTGGCTTTGCACGAACAGTGTTTATCTCGTTTATCCAGAATAAACAATTGTTTGTAATGATTCGATGATTTCATGAAAACTAGGTTTTAATGCACGATGACATAAGAGATATGCAGTTTATCATGTTCATGATCACGATCAGGATCACGATTAAGAACTTGATAGACGACGGTAGTCGATGATGACGGTAATCGTACAAATATAATGACCTTGAATATCGACTCGTCCAATATTCAATTCACGTTTTGTTTTAATTCTCGATTGTTTTGTCATATGAGTATTTTAAAAATAATATATTTACGTTGTTTCGTCGTTTCACGATCGATCAGTTTTTCTAATGACATCTTGTGTTTCGTGGCAAACTTCTCTCGTTGCATAATTTTATCCTTTGTGGCGAACGACGAGAAAATTACGCTTGTTCTTTTTTCTTTTTTTTAATTGTTTTTTTCTTCTACTGAGATAATAAAATAGATGAGATGAAAGATAGATTAGCCCTCTGTAACTGATTCTCTTTTGTCTTTTAATAAGCAAATATTATGTAATATGAAATTTATAGTGTAAATAATACTAATTGTAACTATAATTATTATAAAAGAAGGAAATCTTATATACATGATATATAAATAATATTACAATTATAATATAATATTTTTATAAGTATAAACACTAATACTATGTATTATATTAATTAAAATTGAATAATTGGTAGTTATATATTATCATTAAAAAAATCTAAAAAGTAATAACTTTAATTATACTACATGTTGCTTATATGTGCCCATTATTTTAAACTAAATAAATTCAATGTAATTTTCACGATATTGTTAAAAATGAACCGTTAGATAACGTTTGTTATTTCAATATTATAGAATTCATATAGTGTTCAAATATAAATCTTTAAATATTTCGAAATAAGAGATTCATGACTTAGACCACTTTCATAATTATAGGCACATATACAATTAGATAATGAAAAATTATATTTATTGCTTTAAGATTTTTATTATAGTTTAATTATTATAAATAGAAAACACAAAAGTGATCCTTTTTTTCATAATTACGAATATAGCAGAACATTGTATCTAAGGAACTCGATACATTCAGACGATGATATTTCTCAAAAAATATTTTTAAGTTTCATCAGAGAGTGGTAAACAAGTTTATCGTCTTGGAAACTCTCATAATTATGACGATTTCTTGCTATCATTACAATAAGCACATTTCGGTAATATAATTGTTGAAATTAAACTTTGATGGATTTTACTATTTGAATTTTTTTCTTAAATAGACAAATACATGTTTAGATTTTGCTTGTAACAAAGTTGTCGAGTGAACATATACAGTAATTTATATTCTATCTCATCGTAATTTATATTCTATGACCATTGGAATAGATTAGCTAGTTTCTTTACTTGTCACGTTAAAGAAACGTCAAGGAATTTCGCACTTTCTACATCGTCGTGGAGAAAGGATAGTAAATAAAACCAAAAGAAGAAAAAGAAAAACAAATAAAATTTGAATTGATTTAATTAAAGAAATTAATTTTTTTTCGTATTCGAAATTTTTTTAAAGACTTTTTTTTTATATATTATGTAATTATACGTACTAATATTTTGTAATATAATATAAATATATAATACTCTATACCAGTGGTTCCCAAACTTTTTTGTCCTATCGTTCCCTTTCCAGAAAAAATATTACTTATCGCTCCCCTGAAAATTAATTTTTTTGTTTTCTTTTTTTTCTTTTTTAGTAACTCAATAACAAAAAAGAAAATTCATCGCCCTCCCTCCCCTCAAATGCGCCTGTGGCTGTCATCGCCCCCACAATTGCTTCATCACCCACTTTGGGAACCACTGCTCTATACTAAAAAAATACTATACACTTTGTGTTAAATAATCAATATTGAAATAATGCTACTCTCTGATCGTTGCTTGAATAATAGAAAACAAAGGATGAACAGAAACGAATAAGTTTATTGCAGTTCAGTGACAACTTCTTAAGAATTGTAAATCAAAACGTAAAACATGTGGATGGAAAATGTGTCGTTTACGATTGTTAAAGCAAAGAAAAAAATAGAAAATTAGTGGCACTTTACTTTAATGGTTCATGTTCTTTCTGCAGATGTTCTCGTCATTTATTATCGCATCTTTTGCTCATTGTTTTATGAAAACTTTTGTGTTCGCTGTTATTTACTAAAAGAATCTTTAATTTCGATAATTTAACGACACTTTTCAATTTACATAAAATTGTATTTCAATTCTTTAAAAGATTGAAATGAAAACAAAAAGAGAGAGAGAGAGAGAGAGAGAGAGAGAGAAAAAGAAATATGAAGAATAAATTAGTGAATAATAATAAGAAAGAAAAAGAAGAAGAAGCAGATGTTTTTCTTGAAATTATACTGCAAACGAGTAGTTAATATAAAAGACGCGTGCACGAGGTTGAAGAGTTATCGGTGAGCTTTGTTTGTTGGCACATTATCGACCACCAGGCGATTACGTGCTCTTTCTAAATATCATTTTTTTTTCCACAAAAAATGAGAAAAAAAGTTGAACGATAATAGAAAGAGAGAGAACGTTTAGTTTATATAAATGTTCATATATGTTTTAAGGTTCCCTTTTTTTCTATATTTATAAATCATTTACGATTCTCTCATTAAGTTTAAAAAAGAAATTTGAATTTATTCTATATTATATATATTATGAAGTTACCTTATAAATGTTCATATGTTTTATAATGATCTTTTTTTATTTATAAGTCATTTTATGATTTCTGATCAAGTTAAAAAAAATTGAATGTATGTGTTTCATGAATTTAATTTTAATTATTAATTATGTGTAATAAGAAAGCAAAAAGTAAAGCAAAAATGATAGACGATGATAAGATAGTGAATATTTTGAAACGAACAACCGACAGCAGCAGGGTGCATCATCGTCGTCAGGCTAAACAGGAAGGAAGGCCCAGTAATTGAACAAACGATCCTATCCAAAATGCGATTGCATGCACTGTTGACGCATTCGAGCCGGGGTAATTCATTGTCGCTCTTCATGTGACTGACATTAACTAATTCAATGGTCTAATATATTGGTGGTGTAGGGTCATGGAACCCATCGGACTTATTCTTCTCCTTTTATTCATTCCTACATCTCGTTTCGGAATAATAATCATTCAAATTATTCAAAATGTTTTCTTAGATTTATACTATTTTCGTAAACGTCGATCCTACGAGTAGGGATTTAAATGATTACTCCACTTATGTTAGTGAATTTGTAAAAAGCATTATTTTAACACGGGTAATGAGTCATAAACGTCTTTCTCTCGTTTAATCCTCGTCATTGTCGTAATAATAATAATGAAATTATAAGAATCAAGGAATAACTTTGTTATTTTTCGTGAGAATATTTAAAGGAAACTTTAATCTTACAATAAATTGTGCTTGATTTTTTTTTTAATGTGTAAAATCAAAAAGAAAGAAAATTCACAAAAAGAGACAAATCTATTTTTGATGTCGAAAAGGATTCTCAAGTATATCGTACGCAAACAAACGATTTTAAATAAAGGCGGTAAGTTCTAATTAAAATTGTAATTATACCTCTTTGTTATTATCGATACGCGGGAATATAAATTTTAAAATTATTTTCGCAGAGTCGGTAGCCTTTATTGTTGGATTATCTGAAGTTACGCTATCTGTAGCACTTGCTTACTCTCTAAAGTAAGAAGCACAAGCACGGTAAATTCAAATAAGTAAATTTATAACACAGCAGTCCTACAACTAACAATAACTTTGGCCGGGTTTTCTTACCGGTTAGTTAGAAGAAACGATTTGCTTCTTCGCAATCAGTTATTTTTTAATCGGCCAATTGAGATCCTCGGTACAACTCAGAGATCATGTATACATATATATATTTTCTGGTTTAAAGAATTTTTACATAGTTAGAGGTACGTATGTGAATTTATAATACCGATCAATTAGATAATGAAAACATACATATTTCGTTAATCACACGTAAAAACAAAATATAAAATATCCGATAGAAGGAAAATTTTATGAAGACCTTTATATGGTTACAAGAAAATATACTTGTAAAAAATATTGGCGAAAAAAAATGTAAAAGTAGAAGTTTGAAGGATCGATTTGTATAGAAGAAAAAAAAAAGGAAAAGAAAAATGATCTCGATAAACGATCTCCTCGGTGTACGCACGTGCTTGAGGTTCATTTAAGACGGGACACTCATCGCATTATGCGTTAATTTCAAGCGATATGATAACTGGTGACTTTGAAGGCAACATCCTACGAGAGCCCTCGGCCTCTCGGGAAGTGCTCAATTGGTGTACACGGCTTTCGTACAGTCGGTACTAGAAACCTTACCGGCCGGTCACCACATCGAACGACAACATATATTCTAAGTTTGATAACAATAGCATATACATTTCCAACTAATATATATATTCATCTTTTTAATTTACTAGAAAAACGCGTTGGTAAGATTATCTTATTATTGACACAACGAAGCCGTTTAATCTATTAAAACTACTTTAAAGAAAAACGTTTATTATACAATCACAAACTGTTACTATTATAATA